CGACCAGGTGAAGGGACCCAGCAAAGTCAGTGGTTCAAGCGGACTGGAACGCTTGAGGCGTTTACGACTGATGGGCTGGTTATACGTCCTGGACCTGCAGTCTTCGCTGCCGGAGGCGGAGAATACGTTGGTGGGATTGCCTGTAGTGAGTCAGCAACTCGTGTTTTTTCAGCAGAAAATGCCCTTGCACGCTTGGTGCAGCATCCCGTACCAGGGCCGCACGAACAACGACGACCTTCTGCGGCCAGACCTCTCGGACGTCGAGCTCTTCAACCCGAAGGTAGACGGCCGTTTATCTGGGTGTACGCCGCAGCATCTCCATCCGTTTGATGTTGCCCCAATCTCTGAAACGCTCTCTCCCGTCTCAGTGATGTTTATTAAGAGGAAGGCCAGCGAAGGTTAAGGACTGCATTTAGCGTAGGTAGTAAAATGACTGTTTGCTGTAAGATATTGGTCAAACCAGCAGCTGGCTGCTTTCATAAATGCCTGCCGTTTCCCGTGGATATGATTCGAGCTGTTCCCCCCCCCCCCCTTGAAAAAGGTACGCAAACAAGTAAGATATGCTGTGTTATTAGTTCTCACGTTTAAGACACTCTGCCTTCGTAAAACATTTTCGGATATGTTTTAACATAATTCGTAATGCAGAAAAGCCGGGTGATCATAACTAAACCAAGCACTCATAATAGAGAAATCTGGTCTTCCCCTCCCCGAAAGAAGCGTATTTCCAATATCCAATTCCCGGCATCTAGCAGTGGCTGCGACCGTCATCTTCGCCGTCCTCCGCAGGGCGGCGCGGACCGCGCCGCCGAGCCGATCCAGATGTTGCCCGTGTTCCACGAGGAGTTTGACATTGACGTCGAGGAGAACATGGAGACCATGTTTGTGCCGGAGTTCGAGTGGGGCCAGAGTGCGCACTTCGTGAACGACTTCACCGCCGTGAGTATGCCGCCGAGTCTGGTGCTCGGCACGGCTCGCGTACGCCAGGGCCGTGCTTGTCACTGGCGCCGACAGCTCCATGACTACATTCTCTAGCCGAGCTCCTGTGATGAGTTCTGTCCGTGCTCTCGCGTATTACTCCAGAATTCGTGGGATGAGGTTGGTTGTGGTGGGTAGATATCACACAGCCAAGCATCAGGCATGCGTTCACCAGGCCTATGACACTGAACACTTAAACCGATTGTTTGGAACAGTAAGTTACACCAGGAACATATTCAAGTGTATCATGGCTGTACACAGGATTGTATTCAAAAGGCCTTCTAGAAACTCCTGTGTTCAGAATGCGCACTCAAAGTTTTTGTTCATGCCGCCAGTGCCCATGCAAGGATTGAGAACAGCAAATAGATATTCGCTTTCTTGGCGAGCCCTGCTGATTACGACCGCTAAAATAGTATTTGTGTGTGTAAAAGTCTGCATCCACTCTCCGGGCATATGCTGGGTCCTCCGTTTTTGCAGTGTTTTCGTCCAAACACTGAAATAATCATGCAAAATTGTAGTCTTAATATGGCCCGAACACGAGGCGAGTAACATCTGATGGCACCCGCATTAGATATGGCAGTAGTCTTAGTCCATGATGAAGTCCATAGTCAATGTACACTGAAGAAAACTGGGACATTAACAGTATCTCAGGCGCTCCGCGTATGCCTGCGTGTTATATGCCAGTGAAAAAGCTCCATGCCAAACCTCTCCGGCCTTAAGTCCTTTTTGAAACATTGTTTTATCTTAGGGTATCCCATTGTTTTAATCAATTCGCGGACACTGGCATGCATATGTAAAAAACCAGCAAGAACATACTGCTGCGAGACGGCCGTTAATTGCTGGAAACGCGCTATTCACATTCCGAGACTTGCGTAAACTTAGACGTGCGTTGACGTCGTGAACCGCAGTAACACGGCGTGGCTCATGAATTGTTGACGCGACATACGTTTCTCGAAGATCAAAATAGCAAAGCAGTTCGGCTTCAGCACGGCCGCTCGTTGAAACAGAGACGAAAATCTCATGACTCAGTGGGCTTTGAAGTGGCACGTGCCAGGCTGTCCTTTCAGCTGCGGCCAGTGAATAGTGTCGTCTGCCTGTGGTCTCCAAATAACTTTATGCGGCGCCTGGTGAGCTCACCACATCACTCACGCCGCGGTCACGCTCCGCCGGTCACGTTCCGTCGCGGTCGCGCTTCGCCGGTCACGTTACGTCGCGGTCACGCTCCGCCGGTCACGTTCCGTCGCGGTCGCGCTTCGCCGGTCACGTTACGTCGCGGTCACGCTTCGCCGGTCACGTTACGTCGCGTGACTGCGACCTGCACAAACGGCCGCCTCGCCCGGGGATGCACTGCAAGAGCAGCAAAGGCCAGGGTTTGGGGAACGCACAGACGCTTCGAAACTGTTCGTCCTGTAACGAGTGTCGAAAGTGTATCAAGTGCCACATGAAAAGGCAGAGACGGATGTTGGAGGTTGACACAAACCCCTTTTGCTAAGATACCAAGCGGCACTCATGATTGCACGGCGACACAAGAGTGATTTCCTGTATATGCCGCGGTAGACTGTTGACGGCTTCCTTTGCCCCGTCACCCCTCCTCCCCTTGTTAGCTCCTCCGGACGCCGGACCTGTTCGTCCGCAGGACAGCGCGACGGGCAAGGCCAGCGCGTTCGGGGCGCAGGGGTGACTGCGATGAGATGATTCGGGCGCAGACGCTACAAATTCGTGTGTTTGTAGCATGTATTGTGCGGACTTGCCAGTTTGAAAGAACATTATGTAACGGAAGCGAGAGGGTAAAGGCGAGTTTAAGCGGCGAACCTAACCATTCCTGGATGAAAATGTCGATCCCCGGCTCCATGCCAAATTTGGGCTCCTGGCCAATACTGCGCAGGAGGTATGTAGCAGCCCGCGGACTGGCAAGTGAAGGATAGATGTGCTGAAGCTTGACCTGCATTCTACTGAACTGAGCTGAACTGAACATTCCTTTACATTGGCAACGATTCCTTTTCTCGGACGAACACTTCCAACTCGTGGCAAAGCGTTGGTCGCGCTCTGTTGAGACGGTCACACTGGCTACCAACCTTTGTCTGATCTTTTCTTCCGGTCATTAACTGCCTGCTGAGGAGGTTGTGCAGTTCAGGTGCACTCTTAAATATAGGTACCTCCTATCGGTGTGCACAAAATCTCGCTAGCGGCCTCTCGTTCACAGGCGTCAGGCCACGCCATTCTTAATAAAACCGGCTTTTTCGCGTCTCGGACCACATTGATGAACAGTAAACAAGACCCATGGCGTCGATCATATCAGGGCGTTTTTTGATGCTTTTTTGGGGGGGATTACAAGCCTTGCTAAGCTCGTCACATAATTCACAGCTTCACGTCGGCTTGAACTTGGGCATGCAAATGCAAGTGGATTACAATACAAGGGGCAAATACAAGTACAAAATGCAATGTGTGGCTTCCTCCGCAGCAAAGTTATTTTTGATTCAACAAAAAATAAGTAATTTTTCCTAGGACCTCCGGAACGCAAGTTAACACGGCTGAAATCCAAGGAGAAATCAGGTTCCGTGAGCTGGTTGGGTCAACCCTGCCACCTCAGCCCTCCTCCCAACCGGTTTTAAAAGGTAATATCCCGGCTCAGACGGAGTTCGATCAGTTCTCTCTGACACCAGGACTGACCAGGTATAGCACAGATGTATTGGCGGCGGGACGAGCGTGCAACGCGTCCCGCCGCCTGCCGCGAATGGTATGCGGACATTGGCCTACTTCGTGTTGTATTTGTGGACCGAGGTTGGGCTTGTGAGGACTCCGCTCATCAGGGGGAAGGGATGGTTGTGCTGTGATTGTGGGATCGTGTGCTTCAGACCTAACACCTGTCGCGTTTTGGCTTTCGCGTCGCAATTGGCCTGAGACAGCGACGCCAATGAACATGAAACGCGTCGCGAGGTGACGGAACTAGGATATCTGGTTGGACGCCCGCCCGCCCACCCCTCCTTTTTAGTTGCTGGCACTTCGCGCAAAGCCGTGCCATTAATATTCCTTCTTGGTGTACGGCTGTGTTCTGCCCGTGTGCAGCCGCTGTGCTGTGTCCTGCCCATCTGCACAGCCGCTGTGCTGTGTCTTGCCCGCGTACAAATGCTGTGAAGCTTTCTGTCCGTGCAGAGCAGCTGGCCGCCGCTCTGCCCTCTGCACAGCCGCTGTGCTGTGTCTTGCCCGCGTACAAATGCTGTGAAGCTTTCCGTCCGTGCATAGCAGCTGGCCGCCGCTCTGCCCTCTGCCCGCGTGCAGCGACGTCGCCGCGTGCAGGCCGGTGTGTGAGCGTCGCGCCCCGCTCGCCTGCAGGCCCAGACGGTGATCGTACCGGAGGGTGACGCCAGGCTGCCCTGCCTGCTGATGGAGCTGGACATGCGCACCTTCCTGGAGCCCGGGCCGCTGGCCGAGCGCGTCCGACGCATGGAGAATGGTCAGTGCCGTGCCCTGCGACGCGTGGAAATGCCCGAAGAGAGGGGGGTGGGGGGGGGGGGGGGGGGAGACACGCTGTCGATTGCATTATTTCCATGCACCACAGCGTTAGTGTGTTTCTCATCGTCGGTGACACCACAGTTAATGTGGTTTTTAACGCGTGTGTGCGTGTTGGCCGCCTCGCCGCCTCCGCCCTACTGCGGGTGGGGCGCTGGCTCCACGAAGACCGGCCGTGGCAGCACACCGCTGTTCGTGGTGCCGCACAGCGCGGCCACGTCTCCGTGGGGTCGTCGTTGCCGGCCCGTCACCTGGACGGCGCGCTGGCGACGCCGGAGCCTGCTGACCCCGGGTGCGCCCGTGTCCGGCGACAGGTGACGATCAGCCGGACCCGACGCTGGTGACGCAGGAGACTATGTCGATCCGGCTGCCGGCGCTGACCGACGGCGTCAGCTCGCACATCCGCCGCGCATGCGCGGGCGTGGCCATCTTCGCCCTGGAGAGACGCAACGGTAAGGCGGCGGCCGCGGAGACGCCGCCGGCCAGGCAGGGCGAGGGCTGAGGTGGATGGACCGTGAAGTGCCCTGCGGTCAGGAAGACCAAGACACGCCCGGTTTGAGATGTGCTGCCTCTGGCGGCCAATAGGTGGCGTCGAGTGTGACCGCCTGGCGGCTTTGAACATGGACGTAGCCATACCCGTCACGCCAACGTGGCCTGTTTTTGCTTTGGTACCATTGTGTGTGGTGAAAGCACAAAATAGTACAATTTGCAATATTACAATATGCCGAAAAGATGCTGTGTCGGGGCCCGACCGTCTCCATTGGTTACCCCATGATAGTTGAATTTGCCGACGAAACACATTCACAGATAAGGGTGACAAAAACCTGGGCATACCCCCCCCCCCCCCCCAAAAAAGTTGTTATAGCCGGAATGCTGCAATAATAATATGTTTATGTTCCCTTCCGATCGAATGAGTATTCTCTACTGTAAAATGTATAAGGCCTTTTATGCGCAGGTAATTAATCACGTATAGGACTTGGGAGTCGGCGCGCTCCGGTGGCATGTGATCAGCAATCGTATGCGTTTGTGTGTGTGTGCTATTCCAAGTGTGGCGGAGGAATTTCGAATAATGTGACGGAAAGTGACGCTGTCACGTGACGACCGCTACTGCAAAACTCCCATGGGCAAGGTCAGCACTTTCACAGACGGGCCTTCTACGCAGTAAAGCTTCCGCGGAGCGGACCTGTTGGCGTGGTGACTCGTGAAATTGTACATACTGCCTCAAGGTTGCGCGTGAAATCTGCTTGCGCGGAGTTTGATCGTTGTTTTATCTTGGCGTCAAGACTATCAAAGTTCCCCACGCCGACTGTCACCGCTGGTTGTCAGTCGTTATATTGGTAGAGTGGCTGTTTGCGCCATAGGTGATGTAACATTAACGTTTTTCAAACCTGCGTGATTGATTTATATCAGTTCATTGCATGCATTATTTATCTTAGTTTATCATGGCCATATTTCTTAACCATCGTTGCGTGCACGGATTTGGTTTCAATTGAGGTAAGTGGTAATGCGATCAGAATTTCCGCCCACATTTTCGACCCCGGTCCGCCTGTTTGTAATGTTCCCGCCCTCGCTGCTTACTGCGCTCGCGCTCGTTAGCCCAAACGTTCCATCTTGCTCCGTCTACAACGGCTATATGAAGCTGTGAGTGGTGGATATGGGGGAAAGCGAGGGGGCTGAGGCGGGCTGTACGTGCATACCTGAGAGGGCTGATGTGGCCTGCCCGTATTCGAACACGAATTTTCATATCTACAGCACACTGTTGAAACTATGCAGGTGGAAAGTTATGCTGTATTTAAATCGTTCACTAGCAGAGCTCCTCCAGAAGACGTGCTGGCAAGTTGGAATGGCGGAATGCATCGCGATTCTATTGAGCCACAACTGGACGAAATACTCTCATTTGGAAACGGCGCTCATCAAAAGACAAATATCTGCTGCACGCGCAGTGAAAATGTGCGTAAAGGATTTTTCCTGTTTTTAGTGTATTCCTTTCCTTGAGGGCGAGGCGTTCACCTCTGCAAAAAATTCCCACACCTGTCGCCGCCCCGCTCAAGGTCAGGAGGCACAGATCAGTCGCGATGCCAGTGAGCGAACCCCGTGGCCGAGCGGATAAGATCGACCACGCGGCCACGCGGCACGCGGTGTAGGCCCCGTTAGAGCGTGAACTGTTCGACCCCACTGCTACTGGGTGTGGGATATTCATGAGCCTGTGGTTCGACGAGATCACTTCCTCGTACGATCGCAAAACGAACAAAATTTGGGCGGAACTGGTCCGCAGGGCATCTCCACGTGTCGGATGGTCACGTGACCCTGCTGGCCTGAACTGAAGGGAGGGCCATGGAAGTCAGTCCTAAAGAGGTATCCGATGCGTGCAGACCCCCCGTCGGGTCACCAAAAAGCCATCAAACGCTAGATGCCTCTCGACCATAAGGGACAACCCCTGGAAAATAGCACGGGCAAGAAGAGTTCAATGGGAATGGTGACCGAAATCGTCGCGGCCAAGTCTTCCCGAAGACTGGCCTGTGTACAGGAAAGCTGGTCGAAACACTGACGGCAGAGCAGCACCCGGTGTCAAGGCAGACGGTGCACAGGTATTTGAAGACGTGTTTACGCCCAAACCCGCTCAAACCGCACCGGCCACCAAGGCTAACAGCGCAGGAGATGAAACGGCCGGAGTCGGATGCGGCGCGCAGGGCCAGGAACACAACAACTCTTTACTCTCGTCTTGTCTTGAGTCTTGACCCGCCCAATCGACGGAATGCTGTGTGCGTTGGGGCACATAGCGAGTCTGAGGCTCCGGTCACGGAGGCCGTGAAACAGCCGCTGAGCAGTGTGGTGTGCGGAATGGGGAGCTGTCGTGGCCGGCTGACCTACGTGCCGGTCCCCGAGAGCGAGCCGTCACATCAGACTTGACGCGGATGAGGTGCCGAGGGCGACCACGCCCGCGGTGCGCCGGCGGAATGACCGAGCCCTGCTCACAGGGCATCTATTGACGGAATGGCGCGCCGCACAATACACGGGAGCTCTGCGCGCACGAGGCGAACGCGGTGTGGTCTGGCAGAGATCCATGACCTGTCATCCGATGGAGAACTTGTCAGTTGTGCAAGGACGGAACAGTAAACCACGCGCCGCTCGTCGCTTGTGTTCGCATCACTGACGCTGAAAGAAGGGATCATCAACTGCGAGACGCCTGTATAAACAGGGGCCGGCAGGCGTCTTGCCAAGGACGGCCAGCCAGCTGTGGAGCGGCTGTGGTGTGGCATTGTCACACGACGACCACGCCCTAAGGTCTGCTCTCATCATGTCCTGGTACCATGCGCGTTGGCGAAAGAGACGGATGAAAAAACAAACTTTGGTTGAGGTGAGATTGTACGACTGCTCATGTAGGCTCCTGGCGCAAACAGCGTAGTCTGCTATCATGTGCGGATGAAGATCATAAAAGTCTGTGGTATGGCTGTGTCGTATGCAAGGAAACTAGGGATGTTTCTGTTCAATGATGGCAACAGACCCCGTGCGCGCTCGACAAGAGGTGAGCTTCACAACAAAGAATGCAGCTCCCAGACGAAACCTAGACGCTCGATCATGTCAGCGACGCAAAATAACTGACATTGGTCGAAAGCTGGAAGGCTCAGTGAAAGCTCCAGAGGACTTGCAAGTGGCTTGGCTTGTTGACTTTTCCCATCGCTTCGGAACAAGTCACGTAAGTAAACTGGTGTTTGTCGGGCATGAGATGACCTATGCCACTGCGTTGGAGCTTTTCATGGAGAAATGCTTGGGGACACCATCGGCAGCGCAGGCACCAATTCCGCGCCTCCTACGCGCAGCTCGGATACGACGCGGCAGAAGTGACTGCTCACACATATGCAAACTCGGTTGGAACATGACACAGTCTGATCGGCGGCTCATCATGACAACAGCGACCCGCGAAGCAACGACCGACCGCACGGTCTCGACACCGGTCTTGGGGAAGACCGACTCAGTGCGTCGGGCTCCATGCTAGGTGCCCACGTCTGGCTGCCGGGCTCACCGCCGATAGCGGGACGGAGACAGTGACGCCTGGAGCCGGGCCCCTCCTCGGCGGTTCACCTGCTAGCATCGTTTGTAGGGTGCCGTAGGACAGCCGCGCGCGCCGGCCGGTTTCGCTGACGGCTGTCACCTTGCCTCCCGGACGGGACGCGGCCCGCCGGCCGACCGTGGTGCGGGGTACCGTCGGAAGCTGGCGGCGCACTGCGGTATCTAGCCCTGCAGCGGCGTCTGACGGCGTGGACATGAAGTACACGCAGGCAGTTCCTAGTGAATGAGGTACGCATGCTACAGTTCAGCGTCATTGGCGGTGAACACAGGCAACCGGTCCGCCACCGAAAATCCTCATTTCAGGGTGGCGGTAGTGTAGTGGTTAGCGGTAGTGGCGTCGAGGTAGCGGTAGTGTAATGGTGGTAGTGTAGTGGTTAGCGGTAGTGGTGTCGGGGTAACGGTAGTGTAGTGGTAGTGTAGTGGCGTCTGCATTAACCACTGCACGTCTGAGAAACCAGAAGTACGGGGTTCGATATCCCTGTCAGGGTAGGGGGAGGGGGGGGGGGGGCAGGCGACGCCATAAAGCCTCAGCAGCTGAGTGCGTCGTAAAGCCCCAATGCCGCGCACACACACGATCCTCATTTCTGCGGACTTCCGTCAGCAGTGGAGTTGGTCGGCATCCACAAACGCTGAGCCGTGCGCGGGCCGTGTCGTGAGGATCAAATGACACGGCTTCACACTATGGCCAACGACAGACTCATCAGCGTTCGTAACATGACGTCCAGATTCGATCCTCATCGCGGAAATGGAGCAGCAGAGATAACGATGCAGGGGATATTTGTTTCCAAGTCCAGTTAGGTGAGCACCGACGGTTTGACTCCGTGCACATGCAGACTGCAGTTCGTATTACCCCTAGAATGACTGATCCAGGACGCCGAAATAGCACGTGCTGCAGCTGAACATCAGAACTGTCAAGGCCCCCGGCGAGGCGGGCGCCAGCGGCAGGCAGAGGTCAGGTACGTAGAGCGAAATACCGCGCTGTTGTCCCGTGCTTGCCGGCTGAGTTCACAGCGACTCACGCTCAGATGATGGGGGGGGGGGGGGGGGAAGCGAGGGGACGAAGTGGCGGTTTGGAAAGCAGCCCTTTTAACTCCCTGCATCTCGCACGAGCACGCCTACCCCTCGCAGCCACGGTCGTCGCCCGTCTCCGCCACTGCGAGCTGGGAGTCGCGCGTCACGGTTTGACGTCTTGGCACGCTCGGCTTTAGCCACAGGCTCAGACAAAACCGCTGAGTTCGAGCGGCAGAGCCTTCCGAAGTAGCGACGGGATGATGAGTTACGTGACGACCAGGAGGGGTTTTAGCCCCTCCCCCGTCAGGTCCGAGTGCAGGTTTCATCACGACACTTCGGAATATTATTGTGGAATCTGGTGATCAGGAAAATTATTTTGGTTTTCAATCTCAAAGACACTACCATGGGTAATGACGTGTACAGCCCAACACCTGTAATTTAGTAACAAGACTAGCACGTGATAGCCGAGTGCATATACACGGTGTGCAGCTGAAACAACTGTTTATGGCACCAGGGCAAACCAACATCGATTGCTCATTGATACACTAGGTGGTGCACAGCCGAGTGCATATACACGGTGTGCAGCTGAAACAACTGTTTAAGGCACCAGGGCAAACCAACATCGATTGCTCATTGATACACTAGGTGGTGTACCTATCAGCGTTTGTGTGGTATGTTAGTTTGTTTGCAGTGCGTAGGTTCTATCAATGAGGCTGGAACTCAATCGTAAAATTCCCTCCCCCCCCCCCCATCGCAAGTCACAGTAGCCCCAGCCGTCGCAAATCACAGTAGCCTCCCTTCGTGAATGCTGGCTGCGCGCCTGATGACGGCCAGTCGATTGCGGCGTCATTGACAGCGCCTCCAGCCTCGTTCCTCCTCCGGACCCACGTGTGGCGCTGGCTGTGCGCCTGATGATGGCCAGTCGATTGCGGCGCCATTAACAGCGCCTCCAGCCTCGGTCCTCCTCTGCGCCCGCGACGTCTGTCGCTGGCCGCGCGCCTTCCGCGGTGCACGCGCGCTCCGGCCGGCGGCCGCTGGTCACGGCCCCGGCGGACGAACGCTCCCACGGCCCGGCGGACGAACGCTCCCGCGGCCCGGCGGACGAACGCTCCCACGGCCCGGCGGACGAACGCTCCCACGGCCCGGCGGACGAACGCTCCCGCGGCCCGGCGGACGAACGCTCCCACGGCCCGGCGACGAACGCTCCCACGGCCCGGCGGACGAACGCTCCCACGGCCCGGCGCGCCGCAGGTGTTACGTGTCGCCGCGCGCGGCCGGTGTTCTTGTATGGCGATGTAACTGCAGCGGCCGCGGCGGCCAGTCGTAAAGGAAGCCAGGCGCTGAATCCGCAGCAGCGTTGCTCTCGCCAATTTGGGCAAGCGCGCACATTTCTATCGTTAAGGGTCCGCCGCACTGCAGCCGCAGTCGGTAGGCGACTGTCATACTCAAGTCGCAGTCGGTAGGCGACTGTCATACTCAAGTCGCAGTCGGTAGGCGACTGTCATACTCAAGTCGCAGTCGGTAGGTGACTGTCATACTCCAGTCGCAGTCGGTAGGCGACTGCCATACTCCAGTCGCAGTCGGGGTTGACCGTCATACTGTAATTGCAGTCGGTAGGTGGCTGTCAAACCGCACATTTGCGGTCAGTAGCGGCTGCCACACTGCACTCGCAGTCGGTAGGCGACTGCCATACTGCACTCGCAGCCGGTGGGTGACTGTCGTACTCGGTCACCGAAGATAGGAAAACCATCGAAATCGGGATGAGAAGAATTTCAATAATTTCGTTGAGGCGTGTGATTTGATCAGCTGATGGACTGACCACCGGCTACAAATGCCTGCGGGGCATATAACTGTCCCAAATAAAGCACCGTGCACTGAAGTTCCCTTTCTATCCGATCATGACCCAGACTGGTGTGGGTCGGCGGAGCAGATCCGTTGGAAAGACGGCGCAGGCAGGAGCGGGCTCCGAGGTGGACGGACTCCTGGAACGTCCGAATTGGCGCTATCTCCTGTCGACACGGGTCGGGTCTCCCGAGCTATCTCCTAACGCCTCAGCGATGACTGCGGGGCAGCGGTATGACCCTGGAGCAGACTGCAAGTTGAGTGGACTTGCTACAAACACTTGCTACAAAGTGAAACTTTGACGTGCTGACGCAGCGTGTCGTGGCCGTGGACCGCCGTGGAGCGTCGAGCCGTGCAGGAGCCGCGCTTACAGATGTCTTCCAGGCTGATGTGGAGGGAAGAACTGCTGACGAATCGTTAAAAACTGTTGATGCAAAAAAAGCTAGCGAACACGAGGCAAAACGGGACCAATAAAGCGAGAACTAGGGCCTGGTTGAGATGGAAAAGGGGTTGATGGCATTTTATTTTGATTGACGTTTAGATTCAGTGATTGGTAGGGGCACCGAGTGTGCAAGTTTTTCGAGAGCTTTGTCACAGAAGAAGATTGTACCGCAAGAAACTACTACAAATGAAAATGAAGGTGCTATTGAACTGGTTGCCGAGCTCGGTGGTGGGGGAGGGACATCTTTTCTTTACTTCACGCCATCACTTAACGCTTTTGCTGGAAAACCCGTCGAGAGTGTTTTGACAGTTGGCAGTGCCACAAGAGGACCCAATTTCTTCCGTGTCCAGCTCGGACCCCCGTCAGGCGTGTAGGCTTCTTCCTTGTCTAGCTTGGACCCCAGACCTACGTCAGGACCTCCGTCAGGTGTAGGGGCGTTTGAATACCCTGACGGCAGGCCAATATCAGCCCATGTTGGGAGAGGAGGGCCCGGCAGTTTTCCAGAGGAAGATCCTGACAACGTTGCTCATGAGTTCAGCCCAGACCAAAGAATACTGGGTGATCTGTTCATGGCTGTTCAGTCGGGAGATGCGCTGTCGGACTTTTGATGCATGTGTGATGCAATGTGATGCAGATGTGACAAGTGTGATGCGAATGTGATATTTGCGTCACACTTGCTTCACTCGTACATTGGAACGGTGCAGTCGCCAAGAGATCCGAACAGGCTCGTTTGCCGGATGTTAAACCGCTGCGGACCAGCGCGGCTCTCATTCAAGCGACAGCCGTGCTGCGCAGAGGGCGCGCACGTGCTCCTCTCAGCGTGCGCCTGTCGCGAGGTCCGCCGGATGGGGGCCGGGCCGTGGCTGAGCTCGGGGTCCAGGGAACGCCTCACTACGAGGCCGTTCTGCTCGCGGTACCGGGCGACGCCGGTGTAGATGTCAGCAGGGAGGCAGTCGGCGACAGCAGTAGATGTCAGCAGGGAGACAGTCGGCGACAGCAGTAGATGTCAGCAGGGAGACAGTCGGCGACAGCAGTAGTGTCAGCAGGGAGACAGTCGGCGACGCAGTAGATGTCAGCAGGGAGCAGTCGGCGACAGCAGTAGATGTCAGCAGGGAGACAGTCGGCGACAGCAGTAGATGTCAGCAGGGAGACAGTCGGCGACAGCAGTAGATGTCAGCAGGGAGACAGTCGGCGACAGCAGTAGATGTCAGCAGGGAGACAGTCGGCGACAGCGGTAGATGTCAGCAGGGAGACAGCCGGCGACAGCAGTAGATGTCAGCAGGGAGACAGTCGGCGACGCCGGTGTAGATGTCATCAGGGAGACAGTCGGCGACAGCAGTAAATGTCAGCAGGGAGACAGTCGGCAACAGCAGTAGATGTCAGTAGGGAGACAGTCGGCGACAGCAGTAGATGTCAGCAGGGAGACAGTCGGCGACAGCAGTAGGTGTCAACAGGGAGACAGACTGATGCCGGCCGGCTGCGACGGCGAGTCTGTGCAATGGATTGGACCACGATCCCCAAGATGAGTTTTGACGCTGCTGCCCACGTCGATCTCATCGATTGGGAAGTCCCACGTCACTCGGCACGCGGCCTGGAAGTCGGTGGATAGATATCCGCTCTGTGGAGACTAGAAATGTCATCCGAAAGGGGTTTTATACAGTCGTAAGGGTTTCAACTGCGTGCGGAAGTTTTTCACTATTGCCCGTGAAAGGTCAAGGAAAAGGTCCAAGTTGACATGCTCTAATGGCCAGTAAGCTGACTGCCGGGCCTCCAGGGACGAGCCGATGCCGGGCCTCCGCAGCAGTTCCGTGGTGAGGGTGGTTCGATGGATGATCGCCACACTACCACCGTCGCGTACGCCTCTCGTGTCCCTACGCCCTGTGGTGTACCCGTGAAGCCAAAGTGTGCTGCTGACCATTCTCGAGCTTCTTTTACGAAACGAGTGTATTAACTTCGTCGCGTAGCCGAAGGAATCTTCTGGGTGCATTGCTTTACAAGCGGATGTTTTACGAACGGATGGGATCTCTCGGCCTCGCTAGCTGAGTACTCTTCGAGGGGTGTGTTGCAATTTGAGAAAGGAGTAGAGATGCGCAGCTACATCCGGGTAATGTTTGATGTTTCAGGCATTTTGAATCCACATTCGTGACTTGCGTTCGTGTTGATCCCGAGAAACTCACCATGCCACGGAGGGTTCAGTGCACGCCCAGATTTTGCGAAATCGGTTCCGCCCATAACAGTTATCACCGTTCATTGAAGCCGCTGTTGGAACCGCAAAGCGTCCCTAATCAGGACAGCTGCGTCTGATGTCCCAGTCCAAACACTTGCAGCACTAAAACCACCAATTTTTTTCTTAAATATTTATAGTCGTGATCATCGGAAGCTCCTGCGACCCGTGTCGTGCAGTCGATAACGTGGCTGCCAGGACGCGCTGTGCAGGGCGCCCGCGCTCTCCCCGCACGCCCCGCACGCCCCGCCGGACCCAGCCGACCCCGCTGACCGTCGGCGATCCGTTCCAGTCTTCAAGCGCTCCGCGGACGGCGAGCGGACCGGCAGCGCCAAGTTCGCTGTCTACGGCGGCCGCGGCATCGTCCAGTACACCATCACCAACCTGGCGGACGCCGTGTAGAGGGTGCAGCGCGCCAGCGCCGGGACGGCCTGCGCCGGCGCCGTACATCCTCCCCCCCTCCCCCCCCCCCCCCCCCCTGTGGTTATTAGACGCGAGCCGTAACGTGGCGGGCTCGTTAGATGTTTACTCCACCCGCTATGCCACTCGTAAAGGAACTAGTCTGTAGTTGCCGGCTGTCTCGCCGACGTTTGCCGTAGAGCGCAGAGCCTCGACGCCAGACGGCCGCTGCTTTGTGTTGTATTCTCTCGCTGCTCGTGCGGGCGGCGGCGCCCGATGTGACGGGTCTTTCCGCGTCCTCGCAGTTCGGTTCCCGTAGCTTGTCTGTCGGGGGCGCTTCGTAGGGGGCCTTGCCTCTCGTCGGCTACCAGCAACGCACTCATGGCTGTCGCGCCGCTGTTCGCTGCGGCTGTCGCGCCGCTGTCGGGCGCGGCTGCCGCGCCGCTATCCGCTGCGGCTCGGCCCGATCCACCCACGCTCCGAGCGACAGTGATGTTGTCACCTGCTCCGAAGCTGGCTCCGGTGTGGTGAGCGGTGCTCTGTGCGGATGTCTCGGACTCAAGGTCTTGACATTGCTAAAATTATCTGCCTGTCAGCATCGATCTTGCGCGGCAGTGGCGATCGTTCTCTCGGTGTTTTGACGCTCGTATTTTCTCGCCGCCGTCTCCGTTGCTTCTATAAGGCTCCTGGACGTGCCGCGGGCTCAGAGGGCGCCGCGCCGCACGTGGCTAAGGGCGCACGTCAAAGCTTGCCCGCAGTCTGCGGTTCTGCGGTGAGGCGCGACCCAGAGGATGCGTTGCTCAGGCCTGTGAACCATTCCACTCGCCATGTGCAGAGACAGCTGCATTCTGCTGAGCTCGGCGGGGCGACGCTTCAGTCATCCCGCGGCCCCATCCTGTGTCACACAGCTGTCGGCAGTGCCGGGCGAGTTCACCTTTGATCGGGACGTCCCTTCCGCGAGTGACGGTCGGATTGTCCGTGACACCGTGACTGTGTGCGTTACTCTCCTGTATTCCTCCGGGGTTGGCGCCGCCACGCGGCCCCTGCTGGCCAGTTGACTGTACCGTGCGATCGTGAAATAAAGACAGGTCGGCGTCAGCGCCACCGTGCTGGCCAGTCGTCACACGACGTCCGTGGAAGCCAACGTTGGCCGTTCCTGCCCTCCGGCGCCTGGGGCCAACTTCCCCCCCCCCCTCGAGGAAGACATCCGGATCAGTGATGATTTTGTGTAGACATCTGATGATAGCCCATGGCGGCTTTAAATGGTAGCTTTCATCCTAGTTGTAGGTGGTGAGGTGTCGGTTTGCGTCGCGCCACTGTGATCGTCAGACTTGCTGTAAGCTGGCCCGATGAGCACCGGGTCTTTCGGCAAGTTTGCAGGTCTTAACGCGGACAGAATGATCGATATTCATTACATCAGGAGGTACTGGTTAAACGCCATTAGGCTTTTCCCACGACTTTATTTTTCACTTGTTTTAGTTTTAACACACACATCAGTTTTAACACTTGTGCTTTTAGCAAAACTCACAAGCTATAAGCTAAAACACAGCCTAAGTCGGTTGCAGTGAGACCACGCAGAGAGTGGTTTCACTGCGACCTAATTTACATCGGGACCCCCTAATGCCATCAGATGATTCATGCTGTACCCACGCGTACCTTAGCAACCGCAGGTTTGCGCGGCCCGACAAGCTTGCTGCACTGCACGGCGCTACTACTCGACGCAGTAAACCCTGCCCCGTGGGGCGTACGTTAACTGATCCGTCCGGCACGTGCACCTTTGTTCTTGTCGCAGCTTGCGTTAGCTGCCGTCAGAGCAACACCGCACATTTTCTGGAAGCCTCGCAATTTCTCGGAAACTGCAGTAATTTGTGACCGGAATATTAAGCACGGATTTCTCAAGATCTAATTCACGGAGGTGTGCACACTGTCCAAACATCATTCCGTATGGGAAATTTAGTTGGCGGCGAATATGTTATCAATATTTGAGCATTGACGGCGAATATGTTATCGATATTTGAGCATTGGCATGGGTAACAGGTCGTCCCAAGTTTCCCCGACATTTTGAAAGCACTACTAAAGTAGTGCGACTCATTTAGCTCAATAACACCATTTCTCAATGGATGAATGCTAGCAATTCGCGACTTTTCGATGCAAGGGACCTCACCGGGTGTCGTTGAAACCTTGGCCACGAAGCATCCCTCCTGATCCTAGTGAATTATGTTTGGTGGTCGTGTATCTGCTCATAGTTCCATAAATTAACGCGAGCTTAATCGGTCGCGGTGAAGCCACGCGGAGGGCAGGTCTCACACTGACGTGAGGAATTATCGACGAGTGCTAGCAAGCAGCTGTTGCCACTAGAGTACAGTACAGCCGACGCGTCCTTGCTCACCATGTTGGGAGGCTGGGATGCGGACAGTTACCCACGGGACACCCTCGGTGCCGGGATGGAAAGGTTTCTAGCAGGCGCTCATACAGAGCCTTGGAAAGGAGGGGGGGGGGGGGAGGTTATGTTGTTATATTATATTGTATAGTATATGTTATATTATATAGTTGATGAAGGGCCCCCTTGTAGTAAAAGCCTCCCCCAAGAAAATTTGCTGGATGCAGCCCATTTGTTCATGAGGGCATGCTTTTATTTGTTTTTCATTTTGCCTTCTAAAACAGGAAAAGAGACCAGAAGCCAACGCGAGATCAATTCTGCCAAAATTTTATGTCCAATCAACTGAAGAACCTGTGTTAGACCACAGGTAAGACATCACCAGCCTTCTGTATTTTTTCATGATTTAGTGGCCGTTTTTAAACTGATAGATAGAATCTTTATCTGGGCTGTACAGAGATATTAAGGATACCGCGAATGTAGATCGAAAGGAGTCAAGAATTGGTTTTGGCAGACAAATTATGTTTGCCTGGAGACCTCAACGCCCGGTCAGAATTGATCAGTGGTGCAAGTTGTGTAACGTAGTTTGGGCATGCGCGCTCGCAAATGTTGGCAACCAAACCTCGATGTCAGCCGTCGTGATCTCCAT